GCAGGCCTCTCCCAAGGACCCCCTGAGTGTGAGCAGGTGTCGGGGGTATGGGGGAGTGAGCCCACAGACATCTGAGGAAGAGTATTAGACACAGAGAAAATTACAAGTTCAGAAGTGCCAAAGTAATGGTAGTTGTGCTGCTGACCTTGACCAGTAGGAGACACACAGACACACAAAGACACGTGCAAACTCACACCTGCCCCCAAGACTGAGGGATTAGGGGCTGCTCAGTCTCAGGGCCCCATCTTTCCATCCCAATCATAGGTCAATTATTTATCCATGTCTTCTCCCTTCTCTCCTAGTCTCACTCTTAGCCTTCTGGAACCCTCCCACCACCGCCCAAGTCACTACTGAATCGGTGCCGCCCAATGTTGCCGAAGGGAAGGATGTTCTTCTGCGTGTCCACAATCTGCCTGGGAATCTTCTAGGCTTTGGCTGGTTCAGAGGGGAAACTATAGACCCCAGTAGAGAAATTGTATCATATGCAGTAGACCAACAAGCATTTTCCCCAGGAGCTGCGCACAGCGGCAGAGAGACATTATATCACAATGGATCCCTGCTGCTCCAGAACATCACCCTGGAGGACTCTGGATACTACACCCTACAGTACATACACAGAAATGTCCAAATTGAAAAAGTAACTGGACAGCTCCGTGTATTCCGTGAGTAATTCCTCTCCCCTCTGGTGTCGGGTGGGGTGAATTCTACTCACACACACAGGATTGCCAGGCCTGGGCTGTGCCTCCCTCCCCCTCTGCACTGTATCCCGTGTGGGGTTTGGGCATTCAGTGCAGGACACACACAGTGGACACAAACTTCGTAAGACCAGAATTCATTCCCAGATTCCAGCCCTAGCAGAGATTCACCGCAAAAAAAAGGACGAGTCTGACAGGAGTAACTCAGCAGAGGGAGACTGATTCACTCTTACCCCTTGGGCTCCTCCCTGTGATCACGACTCTGAGAAAGACCCTGCAGGGCTCAGTCAGTGCCAGGCCTGAGGGGCCTCTTGGGCTCCTCAGAGAAGCTCAGCCCAGAAAGCCCCTGCCCAGATCCCTGTCTCAGGGCTCCTGATTGCAGTGATCATGGGGAGTCCATGCCATGGGGTTTGGCTTCCTGGCAGGGCTGACTGGGAGCAATGATCTCCTGCTGCCTGAGTCCTGAGGTTCCTCAGCTGGTCACCAGCCAGGGCTCAGTGCCAAGAGCCACATCTGGGGAGGGGCAGAGCCCAGTCTTTCACCTGAGAGTTGGAGTGGAGAACAGAGATAGGCAAGGTCCCTAGGCCATTATCTGACTGCCTTGGGGATGCAGCTATTGGATCAGACCTTTCTTCTTAGGGATCCACAGCTCAAGGTAGATTTTCTGGTCTGGGAAGTGAGAGCAAATGAAGCATTAATCTGTTTTCACTCAAGAACTAAATTACCTTCATCAACAATCAGAGTCAGTGCTGGGAATGCCCAGGCCTCCCCTCAGGTGGCCAATCCACAGCTCCCTATACTGGACTAAGAATCACTTATTTGTTTCCTGATGTGTTGATGTCACTTCCACTGGAGGGAAGGACTCTGCCTTCTCCTCGCTACTATATACCCCTAATCGGCACAGGCCCAACAACTCCATTGCTCTTTCATGAAGGAAAGGAGGAATCAATGATTCCTAGTCTCTTCAGAATCTGGAACCTGGATACAGAGTCCTGGTTCTGGCCACATCTATTCCCTGTCCCCCTAGGGGCTGAGACCCATGTTCTATCCTTCTGACCACCAGCCCCTCGGGCCACTCTCAGAGAAGAGTCTGTGGTGCTGCTCTGTGGTGCTTAGGCGTGGAAGTGTTTAGAAGGCTTCCCTGGTCATGCCCCTGGGTCAGCTGTGGGCTCTCAGTGCCTGGAGTCTTTGAAGTCACTTGTAACCCCCACTGCTCACAGCCTTGGATATTTCTGGTTCTCTGTTCCTTCCATGTTCCTCATCTTCTTCCTCCTCCTCCTTTCCAGCTGGGACTCCCCCTGCTCTGCACAAGTTCCTTTACCCTTAAGCCTTCCCTGGATTCTTCTGCTAACACCTGTGGCCAAGCCCACCCTCCCAGGCAATAGTAAAGGATGCAGAAATCAGACAGAACAGCAGCCTAGTCACCAGGAGAAACGAGCTTTCACCGTTCCCTCATCCAGGGCTCTTTGTCTTCATGATGCCAACAAGTGGGACACACCACATATCAGGGACGTGTGACCTCTTGATCTACTTTCTTCCACATGACTCAGCCAGGAAGTCAAAGACAGAAGGGTGGGTCTGCAGTCCCCCAGAAGCTCATGGGTTCATTTCACACTTTTTACTCCTGACTCACATCTTCATCCTGGTGAGGCTCCCGTTCCTCCCAGTATTTCTTCCCAAGGTGGGGCTGGCCAGACCCTGTGTCATCTGATTTTACTACCTATTTCACACACACCTGGGTGCTCATGATGACACCTTTACTATAGGGTGGGACCTACCAGTCACTGTCCTTTCACTTGGATGCTGCCCAATTTGGATAAATTTGATCAAACTTGTGTTTCCCAAGGTCAAAAGAAAGCCACATGCAAGCACTGGGTTTCTTTCATTTTGCCTGTCTGTAGAAATTGACGGCAGGGACCTCTTTCCTAAATGTACTAACATAACACATATCGTTTCTACTAATTTGGTATCATCCCTCCCTTTATATAAGAGAGACACCTCGGACTGTGCCCTGAACAATTCTGCTTCTTAACAGGATTCATATGTCTTTCTCTACCCAGGGAGTCACTGATTTCAAGCCCACTATAACATCTTCCTTTGATCATGAAGGGACCCTGACTGCACTGCAGAACTTACTCTACAATGTACAGGGCTCTCTAGAGAGATAATCCTCTAGAAACTGGTCTTAGATTTTTCGAGTATTAATACTGATTTTCATATATGAAAACAATTTAACTTCTCAAATTTCTATCTCATAACTGTTTACAGTGGTCCATGTGACCAGATATCCCCGTCCCACCCCGCCACCTCCTGCCATTCACCCCTTCTACATTTGAAAACATCCACTTGTATTTCAGGAAAGATCAACATGGTCCTCACTGCCCTCTGCAGTGGGAAAAAAGACTTTAAAGGCGGAGGGCAGAGAACATAGTCCTCTCCCGAAGCCCGCCAGGCCCTGCCTGCCCCCCTTACTCTTTTCTGGGTCATCTCTAGTCTTGCCTCTGCTTTACCACATGTAGAGTCACTGTCTCATGTAAGTCACCATGGAGCACTTCAGCAAGACTGCCCTATTTTGTGGCCCCACAGCCTGAGTACTGGACTGACCTCCAGGCTTGCCCCTGGTATCCCTGGGTGTTACTCTGCTCAAATACCCTGTTCTAGGCCATGCTGCCTAGTGTTCTCCAGGCTTTCGAATTCTGGGAAGGCCCATCATTACCCATCTCCAGGATAAGTGTGGAAAGCACGGCCTCGGGGAAAACACATGTAGGTTGGGTGGTGTGGGTCTGTGCAGTAGAAAGGGCCTTAGCACTTGCACTTTGCAGATGACATCTCCGAGGTTGGTCACAGTCCAGTCCATTGGTTAGGGAAGAACTGGGAGAGACCGGGGTGGTCTCTGACTCCCTATCCTGTGTCTTCCACAACCGAACTCTGAGAAAGTCTGTGCTTGCTCTCAGGCAGAGAGTAGGGGGCCAGCCCATGTTCTCTGAGCCCTCAGATCCTCTTGCATTTGTCTTGAGATACACAGATCTGCTTTACTCTTAAGGACCTGGGTTGACAGAGAGGTGAGAGAAGCCAACCGTGATAAAAGTTACCTTTGGAGGAATCACAGGTACCACACAGGGCAATGTTCTCTCTGTTGTCTGCACAGCGGAATTACCCAAACCCAACATCACAAGCAACAAGTCGGACCCTGTGGAGAATGTGGATTCTGTAGTATTAACGTGTGAACCTAAGGCTGAGAACACAAGCTACTTGTGGTCAGTAAACAGTGAGAGCCTCCCGGACAGCACCAGGCTGGAACTGTCCCTGGACAACAGGACCCTCACTGTACATGGTGTCACAAGGAATGACACAGGACCCTATGTGTGTGAAACTCGGAACCCAGTCAGTGACAATCGTAGTGACCCGTTCACCCTGAATGTTCTCTGTGAGTAACTTGTATTCCTACCTGGCCTGGACTCTCAGCCCAAATCCGCACTGCCAGAGGCCAGGCCACATCTGTCCTTCTGGGGTCTGAGTACCTGACTCACCAAGATGCCCAGGCTGGCCATGGCTTCTTGTCTCGGGCAAACCTGGGCAGGCCCCGCCTAACCCAAGACTAGGAGGGAACAGGCTCTTCCTCCATGAGAGGGTCAATAGCCTGTGAGGGGGAAACAAGTTAATATCCAGACTCAGGTTCAGTGAACAGAGGGGGCTTATGGTTGGGACTTTTTATTTATTTTATTTTTTAAACTTTATTTATTTTGAGAGAGAGTACATGAGCATGAGTGAGATGGGGGCAGAGGGAGAAGAAGAAAGAATGCCAAGCAGGCCCCACCCTAACAGCACGGAGCTTGTCATGGGGCTCCATCCCACAAACCATGACATCATAACCTGAGCTGAAATCAAGAGTCAGACACTTAACCAACTGAGCCACCCAGGTGCACCTGGTTGGGACTTCCTAAAACAGGGTTGTGACCCAGCTCAGAGGGATTCTGTGGACATTATACAGACCAGGATCTTGCCCTTCCCTTGGATTACATCACGTGTGGCTTTATTCTGTTTGCTCCAGATGGTCCGGATGCCCCCACCATTTCCCCCTCAGACTCCTATTACCGTCCAGGGGCAAATCTCAGTCTCACCTGCCACTCAGCCTCTAACCCGCCTGCACAGTATTCTTGGCTTATCAATGGGAAGCCCCAGCCATCCACACAGGAGCTCTTTATCCCCAACATCACTGTGAATCATAGTGGATCCTATACCTGCCTCGTCTATAACCCTGGCACTCACCTCAATAGGACCACAGTCAAGACTATCACAGTGTCTGGTAAGTGTATCTCTGGAGCATCTGCACTGAGCACTGTGGTGGAGGTCTGCCTGGTTTTCAGAAAAGAGCCTAGAAGAAGATATTTTGCATTTGCTTGTGACACTGATCTGTCCCTGAACTCTCCCATCACATGTCTGCAGATGCTCCCTCCCCTCGCTCTCTGATTTCTCATGGCATATCCTGAGTCCAGCCTCGTATGTGGGAATAGGGTTCTCTCAGCCCCATATAGTGGAGGGGGCTTACAGAGGGAGAAGAAAGGTTCCTTTTGCTACTGGCTTGTCCTATGACTGACTCTGACGTCATCTGTGGTAGGACAGGAGAAGGTACATGAGAAAACTATCTTCACTATGGCCAAATTGTGCCACCAATTGTTCCAGAGCCTCCCTCAGGTGAGGCTGCAGGGAAATGGGAAAGAGCAAGCCTTGGTGCAGACCCCTCTGGGCTGTGTCTGTATAACACTGTGTGACACCAGCACATATGATACACCAAAGAAGAACAGTGAATAATGATGTATAATGAAAAGTATGTGGATTCCCTCATGAAGTCCCTTCATGGGACAGAAGGAACAGTGCAAAAGTATGTATTTATACATACAGCTAAGAGTACCAGCCTTTTGTTAAACTGTAACCACTACTCTAAATGTTTCCTCCCTGTAATATTCAATCCACAGGCCAGAAAGTAAAAGTCTTATTCAGATTGAGAAATCCTTTAGGTTGGAACTTTTCTAGGTCCTAAACTCACAAAGACTGGCTGGGCTGTTCTCATTTTCCAATAAATTATTTAACAAAAGGGAAATGTCTTCCCTTTCTATGTAAAGCTCCCATACTAAAGAGGGTGTCGGATCTTTTCAAAAAAACTCTAAGAAAGGGTCACACAAAAGCCATTGGGTAAAAAATTCCACCTGATGATGAGGATGCTGGACACATGGACTAAGAGTGTGGTGCTCATACTACAGAGATGTCCAGGCAGACCAGACAGATGACAGAGGGCCAGGGGGGCACCTGAGGGTCGGAGGGAGAGGTACAGCCCCCTCCTTATAAATTGACACTTGAACAAAGACACTCATCCTTCTGCAGACTTCAGGGCCATCCTCTGGGGCACCTTTACAGAGTTCAGTGGGGCCGTCAGAGTGGCTAAGATCAGAGGAAGGAGCATGGTCCCAGGCCCCCTCTTATTCTGTCAACTCCTCTGTTTCTCCACAGAGTCAGTGACCCAGCCCTCTCTCAACATCAGCAACACCACAGTCACAGAACATAAGGATTCTGTGGTCCTGACCTGTTCCACAAATGACAAGGGGGTCTCCATCCAGTGGTTCTTCAATGGCCAGAGTCTCAATCTCATGGAGAGGATGAAGCTGTCTCAGGACAACAGCACCCTCACTATAGACCCTGTCAGGAGGGAAGATGCCGGTACTTATGAGTGTGAGGTCTCCAACCCAGTCAGTTCCAACAAAAGTGACTCCGTCAGGCTGTATGTGGAATGTAAGTGACACCTTACCCCATGTTACATCTTCTTGGGAAGATTCTTCACCAATGATGTGCAAAATGGATAGAAGTCACAGGGTCAGAATAGCAACCAAGACACCATTTCAGAAAACAGAATGGCAAAGTGGTTAAGAGCCAAGTGTCTGAATCAAATATACTTAGGTTTCTTATCCTGGGTCTGGCATTTACTCTGTGACCTTGTACAAGATTCTTTTTTTTTCTGTTACCATTTTTTTGTGGCAAAATATACATAAGGTTTACCATTTAAACCATTTTAAGCATACAGTTCAGTGACACTGGAACATTCATATTGTTGTGCAACCATTACCACTATCCATTTCCAAAACTGTTTCATCTTACCATGTGAAAACTCTTGTTCCCACTAAATAGTAACATCCCATGCTCAACCTTAACCCTAGTAACCACTATATCCTACTTTCTGTCTCTGTGAATGTGACTATTCTCAGTACCTAAGTGTAATCATAACAATATTTGTTTTTTATGTGTCTGGTTTTTTTCAGTTAGCATAATGTCTTCAGGGTTCGTCCCTGTTATAGCATATATCAGAATTGCTTTCCTTCTTTAAGGCTGAATAATATTCCCTTGTATGTACGTATCACATTTTGTCTATGATTTATCTGCCTGTCACTTTTGCATTTTTTCCACCTTTTGGCTGTTATAAATAATGCTGCTATGAATATAGGTATACAAATCTCTGTTCTGTTTAAATCCCTGCTTTCCTTCTTTGGCATATATACCCAGAAGTGGTATCAAATGGTAATTCCTTGTTCAATTTTTTGACGAAGTGCTGTACCATTTTCCACAGTGACTGCACCATTTCAGTCAAAGAATGCAAAGAAGTTCCAATTTCACACCTTGCCAACACTTGTTTTCTGGGTTTTTCTATTTCTGCAAAAAAAAAAAAAAATGTCATCTGACTGGGCATGGGGTGGCATCTCCCTGTGGTTTTGGTATGTATCTCCCTTGATGATGGGTGATGTTGAATATCTTTTCATGTGCCTGTTGGCCATGTGGGTGTCTTCCTTGGAGAGATGTCTGTTCAAGTCCTCGGCCCATTTTTTAAATATTTATTTATTTTTGGGGAGAGTGCAAGTGGGGGAGGGATACAGAGGGGGACAGAGAATCTGAAGGAGGCTCTGCGGTGACAGGCTGACAGCAGTGAGTCTGATGTGGGGCTCAAACTCATGAACCACGAGATCATAAGCTGAGCTGAAGTCAAACATTCAACTGACTGAGCCATCCAGGCGCCCCATCCTGTGCCCATTTTTTGAGTAGGTTTTTTGTTGTTGTTGAATTGTAGTTCTTTGTTATGGATATTAACCTCTTATGGACTGTATGATTTGTAAATGATTTCCCCCACTCAGAGGGTTGTCTTTTCACTTTGTTGATAGTGTCCTTTGGTGCATAAAAGTTTTTAATTTTAATTGAAGTACAGTTCACCTATTTTTTCTTTTGTTGCCTGCACTTTTAGTGTCAGACGTCATTGACAAATCCAAAGTCATGAAGTTTTCACCCTGAGTTGTCTTCTAAGAGTTTTTTTTTTTTTAATTTTTATTTATTTCTAGGAGAGAGAGAGAGAGACTGTGTGAGCAGGGGAGGGTCAGAGAGAGAGGGAGTCACAGACTGAAACAGGCTCCAGGCTCCGAGCTGGCAGTCAGCACAGAGCCCGACGCGGGGCCCAAACCCATGAACTGCGAGATCATGACCTAAGCGAAAGTCGGACGCCTAACTGACTAAGCCACCCAGGCGCCCCCTAAGAGTTTTTATAGTTCTAACTCTCACATTTAGGTCTTTGAGTTAATTTTTCATATATGGTATTAAGGTTCAATTCTTTTGCATGGACATCTAGTTTTCCCAACACCCATTTGCTAAAAAGACTGTCTTTTCTCCTTGTCACCCCTGTCAAAAATTCTGTGACCATGTATGTAAGGGTTTATCTCTAAAATTTTTTCTATATTAATGGTCTATTTGTTTGCCTTTATGCTAGTACCACACTTTTTTTTTTTTTTTTTATTACTGTAGCTTTGTAAGCTTTGTAGTAACTTTTGAAAACTTTTGAAAATATGAGTCCTCCAACTTTGTTCTTTCTCAAGATTGTTTTGGATATTTGGGGTCTCTTGAAATTCCACATGAATTTTAGTATAGATTTTTCTATTTCTGCAAAAAAAGTCATTGGGATTTTTGATCAAGATTGCATTGACTCTGTAGATCACTTTGGGTAGTATTGTCATCTTAACAACCTTAAGTCTTCTAATCCATGAACATGGAATGTCTTTCCATTTATTTATGTCTCTAATTTCTTTCAGCAATGTTTTGTAGTTTTTCAGTATATGAGTCTCTCACCTCCTTGGTTAAATTAATTCCTAAGTATTTTATTTTTTTATACTGTGGTAAATAGAATTATCTTAATATCCTTTTTGCATTATTGTTAGTGTATAGAGATTTAACCGATTTTTGTGTGTTGATTTACTATCTTGCAACTTTGCTGAATTTATTAGTTATAACAGCTTTTTTTTTGTGGAATCTTTAGTGTTTTCTATGTTCATGTCCTCTGTGAACAAAGATCATTTTATTTCTTTCCAATTTGGACACATTTTATTTCTTTTCTTGCCTAGATATTGCTCTGGCTAGGACTTCCAATGCTAATTTGGATAAAGGAGAAAAAAATAGGCATCCCTGTCTTGTTCCAAATCTTAGAGGAAAAATATCTTACTCAATGCCTTTCACCGTAAAGTAAGATGTTGGCTGTGGGTTTTTCATATACGGCCGTTAGCATATTGAGGTGGTTTCCTTCTATTCATAGTTTGAGGGTTTTTAATCATGAAAAGATGTCAACATCTTTTGTTGAATGCTTTTACTGATTCAATCTCCTTACTAGTTATAGATCTATTCATATCTCTATTTCTTCATGATTCTATCTTAGTAAGTTTTGTGTTTCTAGGAATTTGTCCATTCCATCCAGGTTATCTAATTTGTTGGCGTACAATTATTCATAATACCCTTATAATATTATTTTATAATATTTATTATTTCTATAAAATTGACAGTAATTTCCCTCACTTTCTTTTCTCCCCCCAACTTCCAATTCTTATTTTAGTAATTTTAATCTTCTTTTATTTTTTAAGTCAATCTAGTTAAATGTTTGTGCATTTTGTTAATCTTTTTTGAAGAACCAATTTTTGGTTTCATAGATTTTCTCTATTGTTTTTCTATTCACTATATTATTTTCCTCACTCTAATCCTTATTATTTCCTTCCTTCTGCAAGCTTTAGTTTTTTTCCTTTTTCCAGTTCTTACATTGTAAAGTTAGGTTATTAATTTGAGGTCTTCTTTTTTTAATGTAAGTGTTTGCAATTACAGATTTCTTGCACAAGATTCTTAATTTCTCTGAGCCTCATATTCCTCAACTGAAAGTTGTAATAGGAGTATTTGCTTCATGGTATTGTTTTAAAGATTTAATGTAACAATCAATTAAACCCTTAGCAAAATGCTATACACAGAGGAAATGTTCTGTAAGTGTTAGCTGCCATTATTACTACTATTGTCATTAGTTTCTATGAAGTCAAGTAGTCCTAGAATCAAATCCCAGATCCACCTTTTTCTGGCCATATGAATTTGGGTAAATTATTCACTACTCTCAGCCTCAGTGCTTTTATCTATAAAATGGAAATAATGTCTATCTGAAAGTGTTATTATATGAATCAAATGAGGCATAAGTATAATATTTACCACAGAGTCCAGCACATAACAAGTACCCCATAACAGTAGCTAACACTTATATCAGCCTTGAATTGACTGTTAAGGACAACAGAAATAAAAAAGAAGAAACAGATGTGAACAGTACTATATATGGGTATGGAAAGCATTATGCAAAAAAGCCGTTGGGATATAGTTACCGACTGAACATGGAAAAGAAAAAAAAGGAGTTGAGTGCAAAGTTTCAAGCCTAGTATGTTAGTTTTTATCTCCTGAGATGCAGCCAAAGTGGGATTACTTATTTATTTACATTTATTGGGAAAAGTCTTTACTTATTTATTGGGAAAAAAATGCCTTTGAGGGAAAGTAAGCAGGAGTGGGAGGAGTCTGGGAGAGTCCTCAGACCACAGTGCAGATCTGACAGAAGGAAGTTTTAGACTGAAGTACAGTGTTCTACAAGGACCTCTGCAAGGCTGATGGAGGGAGGGGCCCTTCAGCTCTAGTTACCCATCAGAAGAAAACTGTTTCTCACAGAATTGGGCTTATCTCATATCCCTGCTGAGAGTCTGTGGGAAGTGTGGTCTCTGTGCAAAGGAGACGGTGAATTCAGAATGCACCATCCAGGCTTTCCACCAAGTAAGTCCTTACCACAAGAGACCTGAGAGGCACACATTCACGGCTGCCACGACTGGAACACAGAAAAACATGCGACCATGAAAAGGTGGGAAGTTATACAAAAATAGCAATCAGCCTTTCTCACATTTCCAAAGTCTTCACAAATATCTGAGTGCAGAATGGCCAGGATGGAGTTGAGGCAAGTCTGATCACCACCCTAGAAACACAGTGAGAGAAAAAACAAAGATGACAGATGAAGTCAGCTAATCACCTCACAGCAAACTTCCCACAGAAAATGTATTCCTTAAAGGAACAAGTAGAGACCACTACGTGTTAAGAGTTGTCCCCTAAGGGACCCCCACTGTCAAATAATGTCACCCTCATTCATTCTTCTTTCTTCTTTCCCTGACAGATGATTCCACACAACAAAGCTCTGGCCTCTCCGCTGGGGCTATTGCCGGCATCGTGATCGGAGTTGTGGCCGGGGTTGCTCTGATAGCAGCCCTGCTGTACTTTCTGTTTTTCAGAAAGTCTGGCGGGTATGATGGCTTTCCTCTTGTTCTGCTTTCTCCAAGCCTAACTGCCATGCTTGGAAGAGGGAAGGAGACTTCATCTCTGTCTCTGGGCCTAGATCTACTCCTCCTCCATTCCAACCCCCTGCTTTGGGCATTAATTCCTGTGGATCTCTTCTCTGTGCTTCCTGCACCCCACTTTCTCTTGGACATGGTGATTCCCATCCCCATCTGGTTTAGAGGGGGCAGATCCCATTACACTTCTGTCTCCTGGTCAGGGAAGCCAAGGCCCAAGAAGGAAACAAATGAGAAAATGAAAGGAGGAGCAGGAGAACATGAGCTGCATGCTCTGTTGACAGCAGAAGGAGGGAAGGATAGGACAGGAAGAGAACCTAAGAAAAGGTAAAAACAACCAAAGGCCTCTTTGGGCAATAAGTGAAGTGAGGCAGAAAACAGCATCTACCTACAAAAGGGGAAAGGTGTCAGGGTACAGGTAGGCTCAGATGCAATTAACAAAGAGTGGACCTAAAGGTGGACATCCAGCAAACCGGACAGGAATAAAGCCTAGAGGAGATCGTGGGTAGACTGAAGAAAGGGTCCCCTAAGAGGAAAGGTAGTAAAATCTAGGTATAAATGAACACTGAGGAGCCCCAAGGAATTACCTGCTGACGATGTCCTTCCTAATTCAAGGAGCAAAGATCCAATGCTTGGGAATAGCAGTCACACTGTCTGATATTTATTTAGGACAAGTGACCTGCGTGATCTCACAGAGCACAAACCCTCAGCCTCCAACCACAGTAAGTAAAGCCACTCACCCAGTGAGACCTGACTGTTCTCCCACGTGCCCCGCCCCATCACTGAATCTCGGATTCCCGAGCTACTCAGTACCTTCTGAATTTTTAGAAGGGATTTCCATTTTCCAACCTTAGGTTGGCATAGGTCCTCATATCCTTCTAGCCACAAAAGATTCCTGAGACACAGTCCTGGGAAAGACGTTCACTCTGCCTGAGCCATGCAGGCCTGAGTAAGATGGACATGTTTCCAGGCGCCATCTCCTCACCCATACTCCTCCCCCTCCTGCCTCTATGATGGATGTGGGCATTCTCCTTTGGTGAGACTCTCCTTGTCTTGTGGTGCTCTGGGTACTGTGGGCCTCAACGTCCCTCCTTGCCACTGAAGCTTGTTGCTGAGAAATACATCTGGGCAAAAATCAAAGCCTTGTGAACTGGAAGAAATGCTCAGAAGTGGAGCTCTACTCTTGCCCCTCCTCTGGTACTAATGCCCTGGGTCTGGACCACAGACTCTGAGGAAAGTGAATTCCTCAAGCCATCATAGGCTACCTCCTTACTCCACCCTGTCCCCACCTGCCACCTCCTTCAGCTAGAAATCACGAGAGCTTACGAACCCCTCCCCACACACACATCCCCACCGTCCAACCCCTGTTCCAAGGCCATAAATCAGCTTTGCATTTTCATGGATTGGTAACTCTTCTTTTGCTTCCCCAGGTCAGGACCACTCTGACAATGTGCATAACAAGGTAAGCACAGCCAGTTTCACTGTCTCATTTTCTCATGGAAATATCTCTGTGTAGAATAAGTTATTTTTAGTAATGTTTATTTATTTTTAAGAAAGAGAGCACACACACACGTGTACTTTCCTGCACAAGTAAGGAAGGAGCAAAGACAGAGGCAGAGAGAAACCTAAACAGGCTCCTCGCTGTCAGCGTAGAGCCTACGAACCCATGAGGTGAGATCATGACCTGAGCCAAAATCAAGAGTCGGACACTTAACTGACTGAGCCACCCAGGTGCCCCTCGAATGGGTTATTCTTGAAGACACAAATGTGAGATCAAGTTTGGGTGAGAATTCCTCAAAATGGTAGCAAAGAAAGGAATCCTAGTTAATTACTCCCTTGAGTCTACCTCATTGCCAGAATGTGGACTTTGGAATTAACCCCATCCTGTGTTTAAATCCTGGCTGTGACTCTCAGTAGCTCTGTGACCTTGGACAAGTAACTTAAGCTCTTTGAGCCTTGGCTTTGTTATCTGTAAATGGGCATGCTGCCTATTTCAAAGAGAAGTTGAAAGAATTAAATGAGATGACAAACGGAAAACACCCAGCACAATGCCCAGCATAAGGCACTAGGCCATTCCCCCTCCTCTCCCTTCACTGATCTGCTCTTACCGACAAAGTACTGACCTGGTCTGAGGTCTTGGTTCCTTTACTTTAGAATAATCTTACCAAATTTTTCTCATTTTAACTTTTCAGTAGAATATACATATGTATCAAAAGGTACATAAATCATAAATGCATTTTAACAATGTATAAGTTTTCATGAGTTGAACACAAACAGCACCCAGATCAAGAAACAAGTCATCCCCACCCTCCAAAAAAACCCTCCAGTTCTGAACTTCTTCCAGAGAGTAACTGCTATCCTGACTTCCAATGTACTAGATTATTTTTGTCTGCTTATGCTCTAACATAATGAAAACCACAGTACATCCTTGTATGTATCTAGCTTCTTTCATTCAAAATTGTTTTGTGGTATTTATCCATATTCTATTATGCATTTGTAGCTTGTCTGTTCTCTTTGCTGTACCATCACATCTCACTATAAATACTACACTCTATCTCTTCTAATGATCACTCAACAGGATGTTAGCAAACAGAGTAATAATGGGTAATAAAAGCCCTTCTCCAAAGCTAAAGGTTTCACAGTGGTGACAGCACGTGGTGCTGAATCACAGCACACAAGGTGAGGGCCTGACCTACGACACTGATTTAACTGACCACACTGTTCATGCCTTTCAGACTGATGAAGTTACATATTCTTCCCTGAACTTCAATGCCCAGGCACCGAAATCAGCATCAGCCACCCTACCCCCAACAGCCACAGAAACAGTTTATTCAGAAGTCCAAAAGAAATAATGCATCCGGTCCTGCTCTCTGTGCTGCTGATTTCTTCCAAGCTTCTCATCCCCCTCACTAGGAGACCCTTTTCCTCTCAGGGAAAAGGGGAAGAAGCCTCTTTCCCCACTGCACTCCCTAACCAGGCTGCCTGGTTACAGCCCCTCCCTTCCCAGTGGCAATAGACAAAAAGGTACATCCGGGATTCCTAGGAAACCCAACCTTCCTAGTCATTGAAATTTGGCAAAGCAGACCCTGGGAGGTTGCCAGAGCCTCCACCCTCCCACGTTTTCCTGACCTAACCCTGTTTTAAACTTATTTATTCAGGCCACAGTCATTCCTTCCCACCCCAACCTGTCCTATTGGAGTCTAACTTGAATTTGCCATAAACTTGTGAATTATGTCCTGATCCACTGAAATTGCATGTGCCAGAAAAGAAGAGAGAGAAGAAGTAAAAGCTTCTATCTCCCCAAAGCCCGGTGTGAACCCACTATATACAGGAAACAAATATATAGCCAATGTTGAACTGGGAAATTCTCCACCTTTGTCTACTGTCAGAGTTGTCTACCAGGGCCTAAACACTGTGTTGCTTAACTAGAATGCTACATAAGCCATTTGGCAAGCCTGTTTTTAGAGAACCCACTGGAAGCAATTAGGAAAATTATTCGCCAAGGTCCACAGGCGATTCCTAATGAAAATGCCCCCAAAATGGACATATGTTTCATAACTTAATGGGCTTTATTCAAGGAAATATTCACAGAAGGAGGGCTTACAGCTCAAGGAATATTCCGCTCTTAACAGAGACAATCAGCTGGGAATTTGGGAAAAGAGTCAGAGGAGCTACCCTTCAGAGATTATTTAAATAATTGTTAAAGAATGCACAATGTGGCATATTGGGTTTTTCCCCTTTTCTCTGAGACATTCTGCCATTTGAGTGAGTTTTTGCATCTGCTTTGCATCTGGGAAAGCGGCTATTTTTACTTACCTTATCTAAGCCAATCTGACCGTCTTAGGGGAAAGAAGCCGCCAAAACACCAGCAAGTCCCCTTGGTCAGGAGTTCCTCAAGGCATTTATGTCTGGGGCTCCAAATGGAAAAGCAGCAGCAGCAGTTTGCCTCTTTTGTGGCTAGAAATGAGTCTAATTCAGTTTCCCAGCATCTCAGGCCAGACTTCAACCACCATTCTATTCCACGGGGGTCTCTGCTGTGTGTGGTGTCTGCCCTACTCACTTCCTCAAGAGACCCGGCCTCTGCTAAGGTGCGTTTGGCCCTTGACGAGTGGGGATGCCCTGAAAGGAACACACTCAAGCCCCTGTTGGCATTGTTTACACCCTGGAAAGCTGCACTTGTGCTGATGCTCAGACCGGGGCTGTGAGAGGTTAGGACAGGGGAGGGTGATATCTGAGCCCGAGGCTTCTTGAAAAGCCTCTGAAATGTTTTCTCCTATGGGTCCTGCGAGTCTGAGTCCCAGCGTGCAGAACAGAAAAGAAGAGCAGGAGAAGCAATGCACTTCCCACCCAGCCTCCCTCTAAGCAGATGGGAGTCTCTTTGGGGCTGTTGGGAAAAGGCTTTTATTTTGTATTGATTACTTGATGTCATGCTGTGTCTAAGAAGCCCCTCAAAGAGGGCTAGTTGGGAATTCTCTGTACTCAGGTACCTCTTTCAAGGGTTTTCTAACCCTCACGTAGTCTGTATATACTTCCCCTCATCTATGCTACTCTGTTATTTAATTTTGCCTGGCTAGGGCCACTTCTGAATTATTTGTAAAATTTGCTCTATATTTATAATAAAATCATAAATTAGACACAAACATACTGCCTCACAGTTGATAATTACTTGAGACAATATCTTCTTTACAGGTGGAAGAAAGAGAAATTCCTGAACTCAGAGTCAGAGCAAGCCCAAGTCTATAGATATTTGATCTAGTGATCAGAAAATTAGCTCAAGTTATTTGCATGCCTGCTAACAAAGAGAGTTTATCTAGAAAAACAGGCCATAGCTTCAACCTCCCTAGAAGAAACTGTCTATTTTCTTCTGGGTAAGAAGATGATTTCAGGAGTCAAAAAAGATCTCCGGGGCTCTTTATTAGAGACAAGTAACACTTCCTGCACAGGTATCTCCTGTGAATCAGAAGCAGCTGAATACAGCTTTCACTCAGAGCCTCCACAGGCCCAGGAACCCAGATACCTCCAGAGTCCCTAGTTCTTTCTTTCGGGCCCCTTGGGTGGTCAGAACTCTCCTAATCTGAATACCTTTCATATACTAATCCCACTAAGTGTCAGCCTATTATCTGTCTCATTTCCTTGCATTCCTCTTTCCTCGTCATCTGGTTTCTCCTGGCCCCTCTGCACCGAGACCTCTAGAGGCAGCATGAAGTCAGTGTCCATTCTTGGCCAACTTTTCACCGTCCTCACGTTGATCACTTCTACAACATCTAAGACATCACAGACAACTCTTCCTCCTGGGCGTTCTCCTCCTTCCACCCCCCACCTGTGTGTTGCACCCCCACACCAGATCTAGTACCGGGACGCTGACTATCCACCTCCACACCACCCTCTTTCATAGCCTCAAGGACCTCTCGAAAGATGGCTCCTGCATCTGTCTCTCTAGCCCCTACTGTTTCCCAGAACTCATGACACTCACATCCAAACACCTGAAATTCCCCCTCATTTAAACCAGGTCTCCCCCACCCAACCCCACAGCTCACTCACTTCTCTCCGGGCCACTCCTATTTCCTCAGACCTTGCTCTTTTATTTCCCAGATTCTGTAGATCATCAAAATCTGATGATTCTTTAACACCTCTCTGTACCTTGTTCTCTCCATTCCCATGACCCTAAACAACCCAGGCCCTCGACAACCCTGTGGAAATACAGCCTGACTTCTTGTCTCCAGTCTCTCTACTGAAGTCTTCTTTGCTCGCTATTGCCTCATGACTTTCCTAAAAACTGGTTTGCTCTCCTGCTCAAGAATCTACAGTGGTTATGGAAACCAACTTGACAATAAACTATTTGTAGAAAAAAAAAAGAATCTACAGTGGTCTACCCTGGCCTATCAGATAAGTTCGAATTTCTTTCTCTTTACTAATATTTTTTACTTTCTTTACTACAACTCTAGTATAACCCCTCCATTCCAATTAGATCTGTCTCCTTATCTGATCCCGCTACTCAACTCCATATATACATATCATTCTTAGTCCCAATGATATGCCTAAAAACAAACACCAAACAGGGCAATGTTCTGTCTCGTCTCACAGGGGAGTTAACCCACACTGGTCATCACAACTCTGAGCCTGGGGAAGATGGGGACCTTGATACTCAAGATACAATTTGCCTGTGACTGCGATCTTTTCTGACGACCAATTCTTGTGTTCATGAAATGCAGATTGAGCACCTGCTATGCTATACTCCATGAAAGACACAGAAATGAGAAAGGCAAGGACCCTACGCCTGGGAAAATAAAGCCTAAGATAGGAGATAAGCCATGAAAAAGTATTATAATATAAAAATAAAAAGGAATAAATGCCACAAGAGAAAACAGAAAGAAACCCAATGGAAAATGTGGTTGTAATTAGAATGACTGGGAAATTTTAAAAAACAATTGGTATTTAGGCCCCACCCACAGATTCTGATTTCATTATCATTGGAACCCTGGCTCTAGTAATTGTTTAAAGCATCCCAAATATTTTTTTAATGTGTATTTATTTATTTTTAGAGAGAGAGTAAGCAGGGGAGGGGCAGAGAGAGTGAGAGAATCCCAAGCAGGCTCTACACTGTCAGCACAGAGCCTGACACAGAGCTTGATCTCACGAACCACGAGATCATGACCTAAGCTGAATTCAAAAGTTGGATGCTTAACCGACTGAGCCACCTAGGTGCCCCAAAAGCTCTCCTGATACTTTTAATGTGTAGCCAGGATAAAGAACCTCTGTTATCACAGGTAGGACTTGAGCCTAAAAGCAGTGGTTTTTAGCTAGGAATATGAACCAGAATTCTCTAGGGAACTTTTCCAACATACATATTAAGCCCATAAACTATCCCTGAGAAAGCTGGTACAGTGTGTCTGCAGTGGGACCTGGGCTATTTGGAAAAACTCCCAGGTGATTCTCGTGTATATTCCATGTTAGGAAACTTTGACGTAAAACATAGGTAAAACTGAAAAACTAGGGAGTTGGGAGAGTATTCCATGTGATGGGCATAAAATGAATAATCTATTCTGCAAGGCATAGAGAAGTATTAAAAAAAAAAAAACTATCAGCAAATAGCTAAGCCTTAAAAGACTCCTGATGCCAACTGTTGCATGGATGGGAAACAACTGGTATTATTCTTCATGCTGCTGGTGGAAATATAAAATGATGCAACCACTCAGGAAAAGAGACTGGCATTTCCTTATAAAGTTAAATATACTCATATAGTCCAGGAATCCCACTTCTAGGTATCTACCCAAGAGAAATGAAAATAGATGTCCATACATAGAGTTATACACAATTGTTTATAACAGCATTATTCAGAATTGCCAAAAAAGTGGAAACAACACAAATATCCCTCAGTATGTGAATGAATAAACAGATTATGGTATATCCATACGAGGGAATACTAATCATCAATAGAAAGGGTACAAACTACTGCTAAAATGAGATGGATGAATCTCCAAAACATTATGCTATGCAAAAGAAGCTAGACACAAAGGAACATATATTACATGAGGCCATTTAAATGAAGCTCAAGAACAGGCGATAATAATGATGTTAGAATTCACCATAGGGGATGGAATTAACTGCAAAAGTGCACAAGGGAGCTTTCTGGGATGGCAGATATGTTCAACATCTCAATTCAGGTGGTGATTACATAGATGCGTATATTGACGAAAAATCAAATTGTACACTTAAGATCTGTATGCATTTCAACCTATTTCATTTTATCTCAAATCTTTTAAGTGAAAGAGCAGCCAATTCTATCCATCAGGTGCAGAACCTACCACTCACTGTACCATGTGAACTCTGTTCATGCTCTTGAGGAGCTCCTTCAGGATCCCTGTACTGAAGAAATAGCAAAAAAGCCAAACATGGTCCATCCAAACTCAAAGTGAGATAACAAGAGACTAAGAACAAAAAACAGACAAGAACGTCTGACCCATTTCCTTCTGTAGCCTGTGAATGTCTGAGTCACAGGTACACTCATTGTCCTCACACCTTTAGTAACGTTCACAAGCACTGATAGCAGGAAGCATGAGTTAGCCCCCAACTAAGGGGACCAGAAGCCAAAAGCCATCCCAAGAAACCAAACAACTATGGTAGTAAGGTTACACAAATTCTACTAGGACATTTTATAGATTTTTGATGAGTCATTCATTCAGTAAACATTTATTGAGGATTTACTATATGTCAAGCATGAAGCCAGGTGTTAATGAGAACATGGAGATTAAAAACAAAAGCCCTTATTTGGATTTTTATTCAAACAGCTCTGCTTCAAAAAAAAAAAAAAAGTGGGGCAGGGGGGAGTAGGCAAAGGAAAAAATAAAGGAATGAAAAAGTTAGAAGGAAAGAAAAGGGAAGGGAGAGAGAAAATTAGGAGATAATTATAGAAATTTGAACAGTGAATATTTTATGATACTGAAGAAGTATTCATTTTTAGTGTGATAGTGGTATCATGGTTATGCTTCTTGTAAAGATACCTTTTATTTTATTTTATTTTTTTAAAGGTTTTACTTATTTTTGGGAGAGAGAGAGACAGAGCTTGAGGCGAGGAGGGGCAGAGAGAGAGGGAGACACAGAATCTGAAGCAGGCTCCAGGCTCTGAGCTCTCAGCACAGAGCCCGACGTGGGGCTCAAACCCATGAACCGTGAAATCATGACCTGAGCCAAAGTCAGATGCTTAACTGACTGAGCCACCCAGGTACCCTGAGATAGCTTATATTTTAGTAATACAAGTGCAATCTCAATAAAATTATTTGATGTCTGAAATTGGCTTCAAAATATCCTAGTTTGAGGAGGGAAGTGTAGATGAAACAATACTGGCCATGAAATAATTGCTGGAACAGCACAATGAGTATGTATAGATGCATTTTATTATTAGCTTTACTTTCGCAACTATTTGAAATTTTCCATAAAAAAAAAAAAAAAAAAAAAGCCCCTGCTCTCCAGAAGCTTATAACACAGGAATCGGATATTCCAACAAATACACTACTATGTGGTTTGACAAAATTTGACAGAGTGCTATTCAAGCTCTAAGGACAGTGACTGCCCCCCCTCCCCCATAGGCAACAGAAGTCAAAGAAGATATCAAAGGAGCGTCTTCCCCTCGACCACAGTCTTTTTAGAAAAAGTATTACAGGCAAAAGAGCAAACAAGTGGTACAAAAGGCATGCAAACGAAGCAGCAGAATTCCTGTGTACTCTCTGGATGATTTACAAGGGACCATGTTACTTAGGAGCACATATTCTGGAGCCAGACCACCTACACTGGAGGTCCTGCTGCTGAGGGCCTACTCTAAGACATCGGTCAAGCTACTTGTTATGTTCTGTGCCTCAGATTCTTTACCCATAAAACAGAGATTATAGCAATACATACTTCACAGGACTATTGTCAGGAGTCAATGAATTAGCACATGTGCAAAATGCTTAGAAGACAGTAGGGAAACAATAAATGTTAGCTGCAAGATATAAAATTACTATACAGAAATCTGCTGCATTTCATAATAATATTATAAAAATAATAAAAAAGAGAAATTAAGAAAACAATCCCATTTACAGTGGCATCAAAAGGAATAAAATACCTAGGAATAAATTTTTTTAAATATATTTTTTAATTTATTTC